ATTAAACTAATTAAAGTTATTATTGAGAATAGATTATCATTAATGATTAATATTTCGAATTATTGCTTACGGAAAGTTATTATTCAAAGGTTTATTAAATAAATTATATAAATTATGTAAACTGAAATTGAACTGAAATTGATTATTTAAATTCGAAATATTGAAACTATTATGTAATTAATTTAATTAGACTAGTTAACTAATTAACCAAATAAGTTAAAGTAAATTATGGAGGGGATTAGTACGATTAAAGAAAATAATAAGGTTGGACTGAAAATTAACATTTAAATAAGATTTATGGATCTAACTAAAAAGTTGTATTTAAAGAAGGAATAATGAAGTTAAAATAACTAAAGGTTGAATAGATAGGAAATAACAAAAATAATAGAATAGTTATTGATTTAGAATTTTGATATATATTAGAAGGAGAATTCAAGTGAAGACCAAGCTAGAGATTTTATTAAGAGGATTATCGCAATTTAAGGTAACTTCTATGTCAACCAAAAATGTTTTATCTCGTATTTATATGTATGCAATATTTGAACTATGTGGACTATTTATGAATTGGAAACTATTTGTTTGACATGGAATGAATATTTTGAATGTATGGATATTGGTGGATTATTATCTGTTATGGATTATTAAATGTATATTCTTTTTATTAAATAATATTGGTGGATTGATATTTATTACAAAGTATATTTTTGGAAAGTGTGACAAGAATGACTTTGGGAAAAACTTAAAGTTTTTCATAATATATTTTTACGTCTCGAGAGAAACACGAGGCGTGGGTGATTAGGACTACTACTACTTTTGGTGAAATTTATTTGGGTCGGTAACCAGTCCGGCAATGACATGCTCCGGTAGACATCTCGGGCTTTTATTTGAGGACCAAAGTTCCTTTGGTGGTTGTAGTAGTAGTTACCTAATTTATCCCTGGACAATGTCCCTTGTGAGTAGGTGGTAGAAAACATCCTGCCTACTTGGATTTCTTACTACTCGGAGGGCTTGGAATCCCTTTTAGAGGGTGTGCACACTTAAGGTAGAAATTCAGGTTCCAAATTGGTGGTCGGTGGGAGCCGGAATTCCGGGATGAGTCGTAAATAACAACGACTCGTTGGGCTCGAGGAATCTTGAGTTTCGCTCACTCTTGAAAGAAATCTAAAGTATTACTTTTGGAGGAATTGAGGAATGACATTATCTATTGAAGAAATTATTTTGAGACATGAAGTTATTTTGAAGTTATGAAAGGGTATTTTCTATATATATACCTATACCAAACCTATTTTCCAAATTATATTATTTTACGGGTTCGGGTGGAATCTTACTTAGCTCTAAAGCTAATTTTTGTCTCTTTTGTCTTCTTCTCTTTGCTCTATTGTACATATGATTATGACTATGAAGATTGATGTACTTGCTGCCCGAGTGTTCCACTAGTTTGATTAATTATCGTTGTTTAAATTTGTAATTCATAAACTTTGTCCTAAGACCTATTTCATTGTAATTTGAACTTATGGTGGATAGCCTGTGCACTCAATCATGTATAGGTTGAGTGTGGCGGTGATGCACCTATTTTTCCCTTAAAGACTTCCGCTGTATTCTAAATATGTTTAATAATAAAGATGGTTTCATTTAAAATGTGATTTTATTTGGGTGGGAAAAATGGGGGTGTTACAAGTTGGTATCAGAGACCTTAGGTTCTCCGAAGGGATTAGAACATGGGGTAATAGGTCGTAGGGAGAAGTTCTGTCACCAAGACGATAACAGTGTAAGCTAGTTGGTTCTTAATTGAGCCTTGCGCTCGTCCAACTAACTGGGAATTTCTCCTTGTGCTGAAACTTCGTCGTTCGAAATCCTTGAAGGAAACTTTTGAAATTGTACCTCCAAATGGGAAATTTTCAAATATTTTTTTAAACTAGAAGAAATAATATAGCTAGGAAATGGCCTATTAGGAACGTGGTGAGGACCTTGTGAGTAATTCTTTTCGTTGCATGTATGTGATAATTGTGCTAATTGTGGGCCCATATGAGAAATGGGAACCCTAAATGTTGAAGGGAATGCCTCATAAGGCAAAATTCCAAAGTGGCCAAGGTATGTACAAACATTATGTGTAAAAGTGGTCTTATGTGAACTGTGAATCCTGTGTATAATAGTATGGTACGATTTTCATATTATCATGTTGTATAGCCTATGGAATCCTTAGTTGAAATAGGATCCTTAAGAGCAAAATAGGGAAATTCTTACACGAATATATTGTGTTATTAAGATATCATGGCACCGAGAAGAGACCCTATTGAATACGGTTGTTTCGTTGATGACTAAACCATACAGGGGAACGGCGGATAGAACCGCTCACAGTTCCCTGTTGAATATGATTGTTTGGTTGATAACTAACCATACAGGGGAACGGCGGATAAAACCGCTCCCAGTTCCTTGAGTAACAGGAACGAATGGATATTATTAATTTGATTGACTAACCATGCAGGAGAAACAAAAACACAATCCATGATATGATTTGAGTTAATACGGATTGCACCTACTTGTTCGTTTATTGCTATGATTTCCTTATATAAGTAATTATTCTCTTTCCACGATTGATATAGCTTAAGTATGGTACGTAAAATATTCCATAGCTACACGGTTGTGACAGAATAAAATCTGGTTGAAATATATTTCATATCTAAATGAGTTGATTGCTTATGTTGAGAAAAATATTCTTACCTTCTTGAATATTGACCAAAGTCTACCTTATTCGGTAATTAATTGATTGAATAAAAAAGATGCACGAGATATTTGTATCTAGTCTTAGTCCAGGGCCGATATACATAATGGTTGATCCGGCTACCTTAAACATTGAGCTCGAATATGGGAAGCATTATAAAGAAGGAAAGCAATTCAAAATATGGGGGCAAGTCCCAAGATTAGAAGATCAACTATTCAAGGAAGGATGCTTAAACGGTCTGCCCAAGACAGCCTATATAAACGAAGAAGCCAAAGAGAAATGGTGTGTGCTTGACCAAGCTTCTAATTGAGATATATACTCCAGAATATTTACTAAGTCCAAGGCACCTGAACCTGTTTGCGAAGTTCCAGACTGAGTTTCCTTTTCTTTCTTCTTATTGTAATTGGGGTTTTTGAGGATTGACTAAGTGTAGCATCCTCGGGTCGGTTAGTGTGTTGTGAGAGCTTTGTTGTAAAGATGAGAGGCTCTCTACCCGCAAGGTAGAGATGCATAACTCGTCCTAGAGAGGATAGAGTTGGGGTGGCTCAAGGGTAGACTAGAAGAGTTTCCCTTGTAATCATTCAAAGGCTTTTTAGTGAAGTTGTTCAAATTCCTCCGAGGGAGGTCGAGGTTTTTTAATCCCTTTTGAGCCAAGGGATTTTTCCTCGTTAAATCCTTGTGCACTTTATTATTTCATAATTCCCTAGACCCCACACTAGAACTGTGCGAAAAAGTCGAGAAAGTCGAGAAGTTTATTCATGGATTAAACTTTGATACACAAAAAACCGTCGCTGTTTTGGGTTGCCAAACTCTGACGGATGGCTATGATAGAGCTGCAGTTCACTATCGTGTTCAGCAGTTACAAAGAGAGAGAAACCAGAAAATGAAGAGGTACGGAGATGAGGAGAGAGGTCGGGGAGAAAACAGGTTTAGGGCGAACCCACCTACACAACAACAAGAACGGAGGGAGAGGAGAGATGACCAAAGCGGAATAAATTTCCGTGGTCAAAACCAGCAAAACGATCGGAGAGCTGCTCCTAGAGATAGGCACTTCTACTGCAAGAAGTGCGGGAGAGATCACCATGCGGTTAACTGCGATGGGAGCCTAACCAAATGTTTCAATTGCGGGAAGCTAGGGCACCGATCCTTCGAGTGTCTGTCAAAGACCAATGGGGCACATTGAACCAGGTGCAATATCATGATGGAAACCGAACCGGGCCTAATGGTGGGCAAAACAACAACAATGTTGTCGCCATCAACAACAACCGCAAACCTCGAGGAGGAGGGGAGAATAATCACGGTCACGGTAATGGAAGTAACCAAGGAAATGGCGGGAACAATGGCAATGGCGGAAATAACGGCAACCGTCCGAACCAAGGGCGAATCATGGTAATGAACCAAGCCCAAGCCAATGCCAATGATGTGGTCTCAGGTACATTCCTTGTAAATTCTGAGCCTGCTTATGTTCTATTTGATTCTGGTGCTTCTCACAGTTTCATATCTTCTAATTTCGTTAAGAGATTAAAGATTGAACCAACAGCTAGAATAGACTTGAACGTAAGAACTGCCTCAGATAAATTTGTAACTTGTGGAAATGTATACTCCAACATTTCCGTACTCAAATGTGAGTCCAACCTACGTGGAGACTTAATCCAATTTGACTTAGAAGATATAGACGTAGTACTGGGCATGGACTGGTTGGGGAAGTACAAAGCTAGGATCCTATGTGATGAACAGAAGGTGATCTTTAAGGGTCCAAATGGGAAGAGAATATCTTACAAAGCAATCACAACCAAGCCCAGTATGAAGCTGATGACTATGCGACAATTACGACAACATATTCGAAAGGGGTATGAAACGTACTTGTGTTTGATGAAAGAGGTGAATATAGAAGAGCCAAACATTGACCAAATTGATGTAGTCAACGAATTTCCGGATGTATTTCCGGAAGAGATTCTGGGAATGCTGCCCGAGAGAGAAGTTGAATTCTCAATTGAGTTGATGCTCGGAACTGCACCAATTTCAAAAGCACCTTACCGGATGGCACCAAAAGAAATGCAAGAGCTGAAGGAGCAACTGGAGGAGCTATTAAGGAAGGGTTACATAAGGCTGAGTGTCTCACCTTGGGGCGCTCCGGTCTTATTTGTCAAAAAGAAAGATGGGAGTCTAAGGCTATGTATCGATTACCGGGAGTTGAATCAAGCAACTATCAAGAACAAATATCCATTACCCCGGATTGACGACTTGTTTGATCAATTAAAAGGGGCTAGCACGTTATCTAAGATAGACTTGCGCTCTGGCTACCATCAAGTGAGAATAGCCGAGAAAGATGTACCAAAGACAGCATTCCGCACAAGGTATGGACATTACGAGTTCACTGTGATGCCGTTTGGTTTAACTAATGCACCAGCGGTATTCATGGATCTAATGAACCGTGTATTCCGACCTTACCTTGATACCTTTGTAGTGGTATTCATTGATGATATCCTCGTATATTCAAAAACCCCGGAGGATCACGAGAAACACTTGAGACTCACATTGCAAACTTTGAGAGAGAACCAGTTGTATGCCAAACTCTCAAAGTGCGACTTCTGGCAGGATCAGGTAGCGTTCTTGGGTCACATTATCACCCAAGAGGGCGTATCCGTAGATCCATCCAAGATTAAGGCGGTGATTGAGTGGCATGCACCTACCTCGGTCACGGATGTAAGAAGTTTCTTAGGTTTAGCCGGTTACTATCGGAGATTTGTTAAAGATTTCTCCAAGATAGCTTCGGAGAGATAGAAGCTATATATATACATATACATATATATACATAATCTCACCGAAAAATTTATATCTATATTATTTTACGTATCAAACTTCGTAAAAACGATAGAGGAGGGTCGTGAGAGGTCTAGGAATACTCCCCAATAAATTCCAGACCGATTCGTAGTCACCGGAGCATCCTAGAGCTCGCCGGAGTTACAAGTCGTGGAAGCGGGTCTTCAGCAAAAGCGGATATTTTGCCGTAGATAGGGGTGGCGGAGCTTCGTCTTGCCGTCAGGATCATTTTGCAACTTGAATCGTTGAAATCTGTTACCTGTAAGTCAAGTTATAGCTCGCCGAAGTTTTTGTAATTCCGGTCGCCGGAAACCCGACCTGGAGAAGAGCTGGGAAGAAGACAACCCAGTCTTCTTGGGCCGGGTCGTGTATTTGGGCCGGTTCGGCCCAGTTTCAATAAATATTAAAAATAAAATAGTAAATGAAATAAATAAAATCTGGAAAAATATAAATTAAATACCTAGTATAAATATACATATTCCGACCAACCAGAATTGAAAGATAATATTTGTAGCTATTTTTAATTGATTTAATTGTAATTGGGCCAATTTGTACATATTTAGTAAATAATTAACTAAATGACGAAATAAATTACGAAATAATTATTGGAGTAAACTATATTAAATATATGACTAACTAGGACATTTGGGACCATTTGTAATAAACTATTTGTTTGACATGGAATGAATATTTTGAATGTATGGATATTGGTGGATTATTATCTGTTATGGATTATTAAATGTATATTCTTTTTATTAAATAATATTGGTGGATTGATATTTATTACAAAGTATATTTTTGGAAAGTGTGACAAGAATGACTTTGGGAAAAACTTAAAGTTTTTCATAATATATTTTTATGTCTCGAGAGAAACACGAGGCGTGGGTGATTAGGACTACTACTACTTTTGGTGAAATTTATTTGGGTCGGTAACCAGTCCGGCAATGACATGCTCCGGTAGACATCTCGGGCTTTTATTTGAGGACCAAAGTTCCTTTGGTGGTTGTAGTAGTAGTTACCTAATTTATCCCTGGACAATGTCCCTTGTGAGTAGGTGGTAGAAAACATCCTGCCTACTTGGATTTCTTACTACTCGGAGGGCTTAGAATCCCTTTTAGAGGGTGTGCACACTTAAGGTAGAAATTCAGGTTCCAAATTGGTGGTCGGTGGGAGCCGGAATTCCGGGATGAGTCGTAAATAACAACGACTCGTTGGGCTCGAGGAATCTTGAGTTTCGCTCACTCTTGAAAGAAATCTAAAGTATTACTTTTGGAGGAATTGAGGAATGACATTATCTATTGAAGAAATTATTTTGAGACATGAAGTTATTTTGGAGTTATGAAAGGGTATTTTCTATATATATACCTATACCAAACCTATTTTCCAAATTATATTATTTTACGGGTTCGGGTGGAATCTTACTTAGCTCTAAAGCTAATTTTTGTCTCTTTTGTCTTCTTCTCTTTGCTCTATTGTACATATGATTATGACTATGAAGATTGATGTACTTGCTGCCCGAGTGTTCCACTAGTTTGATTAATTATCGTTGTTTAAATTTGTAATTCATAAACTTTGTCCTAAGACCTATTTCATTGTTATTTGAACTTATGGTGAATAGCCTGTGCACTCAATCATGTATAGGTTGAGTGTGGCGGTGATGCACCTATTTTTCCCTTAAAGACTTCCGCTGTATTCTAAATATGTTTAATAATAAAGATGGTTTCATTTAAAATGTCATTTTATTTGGGTGGGAAAAATGGGGGTGTTACAGTTAGCCCGGCTGCTATCAGCTCAGTACTCATCAGGGAAGAGGATGACATCCAGCATGCCATCTTCTATGTTAGCAAGACCCTCAGGGAGGCGGAACTCCGGTACTCCTCCGTGGAAAAAACGGTATTGGCTATCGTGTGGACCGTCAAGAAGTTGGGCCACTACTTCCAGGCTCACCCGGTCCAGGTCCTCACTCATCAACCCCTCGGCGCCTTGATGAGGAGCCCCACTAGCTCCTCCCGAATGGTAAAATGGGCTGTCTTCTTGAGCCAATACAACATCGACATCCGTCCTAGGCCCACCATCAAGGGCCAAGCCCTAGCGGACTTCGTGACGGAGTGCACGGCAAGGGCAGCCACGGACGAGGAGCCCTCGGCCCCTTCGGATGATTGGTGGACCCTCTACACCGACGGCTCCTCCGCCATCAAGGCATGTGGAGGAGGGGTGGTTCTCATCTCACCCGAGGGCTTCCGGGCCTATTATGCAGTCCGTTTCTCCTTCAAAGTCTCCAACAATGAAGCCGAATACGAGGCTCTCCTCTGTGGCCTTCGGCTGGCAGCTAACATGAAGGCACGACAAATCCACGTCAAATGCGACTCCAAGTTAGTCGTCGGCCAAATCTCCGGGGAGTACGAAGCCAAGGAAGGGAGAATGAAGCAATACAAGGAGGCGGCCAAGGAATTGCTTAAGGTATTTGAAGCGCACTCTCTTACTCAAATACCGAGGGCTCAAAACTCCGAGGCCGACATTTTATCAAAGCTCTCGGCAGAATCCCCTGAGCATATCTCGAAGATTGCCAAAGTGGAAGAACTCAGCCTCTCTAGCATACATGCTAGCCCCGTCATGGATATACAACAAAGACAGGAGGACTGGATCTCGGACATTGTTACCTTCATCACCACAGGGCAACTGCCCGAGGATGAGGCCCGCGCCAAGCTGGCAAAGCTGAGGGCTTCCAGCTACGCCATCGAGGACGGAAGGCTCTACAAAAGGTCCTACAACGGGACATTACTTCGGTGCCTTCATCAAGGTGAAGCCGAAGTAGCGATAGAGGAGGTGCACAGTGGCATTTGCTCAGCTAATCAGGGACCCTTCTCCATGTCCCGAAGGCTAATAATCCAGGGCTACTTCTGGCCTACGATGGCCCGGGATTGTGCAGACCTTGCCCGAAGGTGCTCTGCATGCCAACACTTCCAGAAAGCCCCCGGCAGGCCAGCGGTCACCTATGCCCCCATCAGCACATCCATACCCTTCGCTCGATGGGGCATAGACCTTGTGGTCCCTCTGCCGAGGGGTACCTCCAACAACAGATACATCATCGTCGCCATCGATTACTTCACCAAATGGGTGGAAGCTGAGCCCCTCGCCAGCATCACTGAGGCCAGGTGCCGTCGTTTTGTTCTCAAAAACATCCTCACCAGGTTTGGCGTCCCTCAGCAAATCATCTCCGACAATGGGACTCAGTTTGAGGCAACCCCCTTCTGTGCCCTCCTAGAGGCATGGGGCATCAAACACACCTTCTCGTCCGTTGCCTACCCTCAGGGCAACGGTCAAGTGGAGAACGCCAACAGGACCTTGCTCGAGGGCCTAAAGAAGAAGCTGGAGGCTGAAGGGGGCGGTTGGGTAGAAGAGCTCCACAACATCTTATGGGCGTACCGTACCACCCCTCGGCGGGCAACTGGCGAGACACCCTTCTCCCTTTGCTACGGATTTCAAGCCAAAGCCCCCACTGAGGTAACTTTTCCGACCCGAAGGGTCATACAGTATGACCCAGAGGCCAACGACGCCAATATGGCCCTCGACCTGCACCTTATTTCAGAACGCCGACAACAAGCCTTCATGCGCGCAGAAAACTACCGAAGGCAAGTGAAGAGTTACATTGACGGTAAGGTCCGCTCCCGGGAATTCCAAGTGGGGGACTATGTCCTTCGAAGAAGGGAAGCTAGCCAACCAACCGAGGGCAGAAAGATGGCACCAAAGTTTGAAGGCCCCTACATCGTGGCAGCCATCATCAAACCAGGAACTTACAAGCTAAAATGCCCTAATGGGACTGAAGTCCCTAGGCACTGGAATGTACATCACCTAGTTGAATTTTATCAATAAACACCAGAGCGGCCAAGCCCTCAAAAACTTGTGGATATATTATTTTACGGCCCAAGGCCAAAAAATTCTGAAGAACGAAGACATTTCGAAGACACCGAGAACATGGAACAAGATTATTACAAAGGCCAAGCCCTCATATCACCCCCTGCCCCAAGGCCTTACCACAATGAAAGGGCCCTCGGCACCAAGTGCCGAGGGTATACAATACTATCACCTACAACAAAGTACCACCTGTCCTCAAAAGTGGACTCCTCGGCACCTGGTGCCGAGGGGACACACCACTGGCAACTTTCAACAGATGGGAAGAAACACCAAGTGTTTCCACAGAGGACCCCTCGGCACCTGGTGCCGGGGGGGCGCATTACTAACATCTTTCAACAAATGGGAAGGAACACCAAGTGATTCCACAGGAGACCCCTCGGTACCAAGTACCGAAGGTAGACACCACAATCCCCTACGACAAATGAAGAACAAACACCAAGTGTTTTCACAGAAGACCCCTCGGTACCAAGTACCGGGGGCCGTACATCGGAACAAACACCAAGTGTTGTTTCTAAGCCGTACCCCTCGAGGACGCCTATACCGAAGGCGCCACCTCTCGGTGCCGGCAGCACGTAGTGCCCCCGGCCATTTGCAACCAGTGTGCAAATGAAAACCCTTCCCTGAAACGCTTTCCGCGTCATCACCCCAAGGGTATGACAGGCACGAGAAATGCCCAGGATTCGACTTTCAAAAACGGAACGCTTTCCGCGTCATCACCCCAAGGGTATGACAAGCACGAGAAGTGCCCAGGATTCGACTTCCAAACCGAAACGCTTCCCGCGCCACCACCCCAAGGGTGTGGCATGCCACGGGCTATGTCTAGCGCCGAGGGGACGACTTTCAAAACTGAGGCGCTTTCCGCGCCATCCCCCAAGGGGAGGCAGGCTGCAGACCACCATATCTTGTACCCAAGAAACGACCCTCGATCCCCTCGGAACTCGGAAGGTTAACCCGAGGGGGGAGCTGATGGTGTATTCTGTTACCTCCCGAT